TTAAAGTAGGGTTTAATTCTTAGATCAGACTGCGCATTGCAGGCTCTGATAGGCTCAAAATAGGCTCTAATAGGCTCAAAGTAGGAGTAAGAAAAAAAGTAGATGCTACTTTGACGCTGCTACACGTCCGAAATTTCCTTTTTTCAAAAATTGAGGTTCAATGTAGACGCTAAATTTCGACTCGGGAAGTGCCGAGTTTTATTTAATTGCCCTCAAGTGAACCGCTCAGTGCCGAAAAATATTTTAACCCACGCGCCTACACTGGTTTCATCTTGGACACTAAGAACAAAGTCGGTATTTTATTCGGACAAAATTTACAGGGTAAAAATCTGGTCCGATATGTGCGAACTTATGGGAAGCGCTTGTCAAAACGCATCAGGTGTGCGTTTGCACGTCCCGCAATGCGGGTTCTTCGGCGGAGGGGAAAAAGTTGCGCCAGACCGACAATTGCGTAATTCATATCAGCGGATTTGTCGCTTTGCTCTCTTTTCTCTCTTTCTCTTTCGTTCTCTAGGTCGCGGATTATGCGCGTTTCCCGCTTCGCGTCAATTACTTATCCGTTGAAAGCTCTTCGGCACATTAAGGTAAATTTTACTTAAGCACAATCGGCCAGCTTTTGTTACGTGCGCGCGCACATATACGTCGAGGCGTGTTACGTTTCCTCTGTGTTTGCAGAGGCATGTTTACTACGCTGACAATTATTTATCGCCTCTCCGCTGTTAAAGCCGGCTTTGTATGCATTCGCGGCAATATAAAATAGTTATAACGCTGCGACACTTTTGACGATTTATGTCCTCTACCGGCACGTTGCAAAAAAAACAAAAAAAAAAAAAAAAGATTTATCGATATTTGCAGTTAGCTTTCGTGTCAAAGAACACGATCAAAGAGAATCGAAGAATTCAAACATTCTTGGAAAAAAAAAAACAAAACACCTCACGCTCACGCATTAAAACCCCATGCGCTAGATTTTTTTTCTGAAACGTTTTTTTTTTTTTTTTGTTTTTTAACAAAACGTTCCCGCGAAAAACTTTCTTTTTTTTTGCACTAATTTTTTCGAACAAACCCGTACTCGGAAAATTTTTTATTCCAGACATTTTTAACAATAAAAAGTATCACTTAGTATCAAATCGAGTGTTAAATCCCGCAATAAAAAATTTTGCGCCATTTGCGGAGACGAAGTGTGTGTGTGTGTTTTTGCGACTGATATTCTCTTTTTCTTCCGACCTCTTTGTCCGAATAAATGTTTTATTCGTTATAATACCGGGGAAAAAAAAAGAGAGAGTTGCAATGTGGACCCAATTATAAAACTTTATTTCCGTATTATCTCTCTCGTCTCTCGTATTCTCGAAGCCTTGCTGCGTTACGTCGTTACGTCGTTTTTAATCCGCGTTCTCCACAATCACGCGCAATCATCGAATCCCTTTGGACGAATCCGTGCGATCCGACGCGCGCGCGCGGCAGTCTGTGCTACAAAATTAAACGACGCCCGTCGAATCGCGTTTAGACCGCGACCGGCCGGCTCACCTATATTTTATTGACGTTGCATTTGGACGGCGGGGATTGCGTAAATTCGGGCGTGCTAGGCGACCGCTGAAAACCCAATTTACACGGTTCACTCTGGACGATCATCCCGGATGAATCATCCTCCGAGTGCGTGTGCGTGTCGTGCGAACGAGGTTTTCGCTTAGGTGTGTCATCGCGAACATTCGCTCTACCAAATGCAAATCCTGTTTCGCAGAAATTAATGGCGTTTTAAAAAATATAAACGCGCGTCCCGGGACGCGCAGGGGATACCCTTGTATCCTGTACCGTTGGATATAAAAACTCGCATTTTTTTTGTAATAGCATAATTAAATCGCGCGTCCTGAATAAACCTGTGAATTCCAAGCGATTTAATCAGTTTAGCAGCTTTTATGCACACACGCACACACACACACACGCACACACAAAAGAAAGAAACTGTATATTAAGTACACAATTATTAATATAATTATATTGATACATTTATAGAAAAATTATATTTTTCATAATATTTTAATTTCAATGAAATGTAATTTTTTTTTTTTTTTTCATTTTCATCTCTCGATAGATCTCTGAGATAGATTTCAATTAAAATCTGAACAAAAACTGTGTCCCGATATCCCAGCAATACGAAATACTAACTATAATTACAGTCGGCGTGTGTATTCTTACGTAATTAACACATTGCGTACGGGGTCACGAGATATCTCGTTTTCATGTTTTATTTCGATTCAATCGGCAACGTAAGCAACCAGTGGCAAATATTTTTGTTACGTTACCAGGGTAACAAAGCCTCTCCTATTCTTAAGACAAATGATGAGCGAAATAATATTAATATTAATATTAATAATATTGCTCGCGCCAAGCAATGCTTCTACAGCGTTCGGAAATGTGCGGGTTCCCGAGTCGAAATTTAGCGTCTACATTGAACCTCAATTTTTCCTTTTTTTTATGTAGGAGTAAGAGAGAAAGTAGATCCTACTTTGACGCTGCTATACGTCCGAAATTTCCTTTTTTCCCGCTAAAGTTTTAAAGCAGGGTTCAATTCTCAGATCGGACTGCGCATTGCAGGCTCTGATAGGCTCAAAGTAGGAGTAAGAAAAAAAGTAGATGCTACTTTGACGCTGCTACACCGAAAAAATTGTATTCTTGTTTTGAGGATATCCCACTTACTTTAAGTATATTTTATACTAAAATAGGCGCCAAGAAGAGTTTCTTGTTTTAAGAGGAAAATCCTCTAAATAGTAATATTGATAAGAATATATACTGATTAGAATATAAAAAGCCTCTATAGAAAAACATATATATCTCACTATCGAAAAAGACTATATTCTTAAATAAAGAATATATTTTTAATTTCAGAAGAATATCATCTAAAATCTTTAAGAAGATTTTTTAAGTATAAAATCTTCTACTTACAAGAATATAATTTTTTCGGTGTATACGTCCGAAATTTTNTTTTTTCAAAAATTGAGGTTCAATGTAGACGCTAAATTTCGACTCGGGTTTTGAACGCGGTTTGAGCGCGCAGAGCGCCGTACGCAATGTGTTAACAGTATTAATTTCTGTGTTTTTCAAGACAAACACGGATTTAGTGAAGTAATAGGTGAGAGACACGTGTCTATATCATCAAACTGAACACGACGAGAGCTGAGATATTGAATAACATTGATTCAATTTTGACGAAAAAATGTGAAATGCTCTCGTACCGATATGAACGATTCAATTGTAAATCACTTCACGTGGTCTATACCAATATTTTCATTTTTGTCGCAATATATGTAACGACTTTTCCGGTGATAAACCGTTATATAGAAAAATTGTCAAAAACCACATATATGTCAAGTTTCATATGTTTCGAAATTTGCTCTCGCGCAAAAATTTCCCGTCGCGGGCGGAAAGAGGAATCCGTGTAGGGTGTGCAATATCGAGCGAAACGAAAATTTATAAAAATTTGTCCGTCGTTCGTTTTATATACGTCGCGCGAATTGTAATTAATTTCAAGTTATTTATTTACACACAGGTTTATATGAAATTGAATAATTGATGCAAATCGCCAATCGCGGCGCAAGGCTGATTTCGGCGCGAATTCGCCTCTGGCGCAACATCGGCCGAACAAGGGAGAATATATTCCGTGGGATATAATGCGTGATATGCAGATCGATCCCTTTCCGTGTACGTGCGGTGCAGACGTGGAATACCACCGCGGGTATATACGAATTATCGATCGTATATCGAGGCCAAACCGTCCGATTACCTTGATTCTTCCAGCAGCGGTATCGGAGGAGAGCTTTAACGGCTTGCGTGATCGTCGACATTATCGGCATAATTATTATTCTCCCTCTCTCTTCCCTCATGATGATCGGCTTGCCAACGTCTAATCGATCCGCGTTAGCACAAGGCAGCCATATATCGCGTCGCTCGAATATAAGCGCAATTAGAACTTCACTTCGCCTTCGTATATATTTAAAAAAATGATCGGTACGGAAGCTGACAAGTAGTTCAGCCAAAGCGTTGTACCGACGCAACGAGTTGTGTGCGCGCGCGCGTACAGTTTGATACACGTTAAAACATCTTTCCTGTTATCGCGAACAGAGAACGCGAACGAAAACAAAAAAAAAAAAAAAATCCAAGATCCGAGCGAATATGCAATCAAAGTTAATTAACCAAGACGATGGACGCAATTGGACGTAAAACTATATATATATATATGAGTTACGAGAGAATGACGGAATAGGGAAGAGAACGTGCCGTCACGCGATAAATACCGCGCAAGCGTTATTAGCCGCGCACACACAGTTATCGACTCTAAAAGTCTACAACTTTCCGAGATCTTGTTTTTGCGATCTTGTGCTTTTTGCCATTAATTGGCGCTGTACGCTTCTCTTCTTCTCGAGTTTTTTTTTTTTTTTCTTCAGAAACGATAAACGCTCATATTCGCGCTTCGCGGATATGTTTCGCCATTACTTATAATTTCTCTCGTATTTAATGCGAGATGATAAAAAAAAAAAAAAAAAAAAAAAACTTTAACTTAATATTTTTTTTCTCACGTGTGTATTAGTTAAAATATTTTTCCAATGTTATCTCCTTACGCTGTTTTAAAGCACGATAAAAAATTTTTCCAGATCGAAGAAATAAACTTCCCTTCGAACTGTTCGTTCGAGCTGAAAAAAAAAAAAAAAAAAACCGAAACGTCGAACTGTGTAAACGTAAACGGCAATTCTTCTACGTATAAATAACTACGTACGCGTGTAAATCTCACACAGACAATTTCCGCGCGATGAACTACCGCGGTTTTGTTAGACATAATTTTATAGTCTACAGCACATTCATCCCACTTTTGCCTTATACCCTATAGAGCGCGAATAAAACGCTCGCAAAGTGGCGGCACGTGGAAACACGCTGGCTTATCGTCCCCTCTTGTGCGGAAGAGGCTCCGTCGCTTTCGAACCAAAATCATCTTTATCTTTCTGTTACAGGCGACGGAGGACAATATTTCCGGATTAGGCCGAGCAACAGCTCCGTGCTGGAGGGCGGCGAGGTGATAATTCCTTGCGAGGTGGGAAATCGAGCCGGATCCGTCCAATGGGTGAAAGACGGATTTGCTTACGTCATACAGTCGAGTAAGTTCAATAAGTTCATAAATGTGTCACAAAGTAAAAATTATATGTACTTCGTGTATATAATATTGCGTTGTTCCAGAAGTTTCTTTCCCCGACCTGCGCGCAGCTGCGTTTGCGACATGTTGCAATTGTTTTAAAAAAGTGCAACGGTGCTAATGATACCGCAAATGAGATTCGCACCGTTTATGAGAGAGGTGCTGCACAGGCACCGCGCTTGGTGCAGCAGCTGGTCGCAAAATAAACTTTTAGAACAACCTAATATAATATAATATATATATATATATTTTTTTTTTCCCCCTTGAATATGTTCTTGACAATCGAGTTGAAGATTCGATTGTTTGCTCGGCGAAAAATGTTGAGAGAACAGAAATAAAAAAAACTCAAAGACGTAAAAGATATACTCGTTACGTTCTTCAAAAAAAAAAAAAAACAATATTTAAACAAAATTTTTACTACCCCGATAGAAAAACATTGATGAAAAATTATGTGACAAAATCTTGCACGAAAATTGTGATTTGCAATTATATAAATATATTTTGTGAAATAGATGTAAAAAATATTAAAAAAAAAAAAAATCTTTTATAAAATATTTGTAACTGTTTGCAAAATTAATTTTCAAATACTATTTCGGCAAAACAATAACGATATGACGAATCAGCTCAGTGGTATATTTGCAAAATAAAATTCAAAAAGAAATTCAGTCATTGTCCAGTAATGGAGAAAAAAATGTCAGCTCTGTGATGTTTAAAACATGTCGAAATATAATTGCACACGAAGAAATCAAAATAATTCATGTATTTGCTTATAAAAATGCCCAATAACTTTTAAATTTTAATGTAAAAATATTGCAACATAAAATTATTGCATGTTAATGCAGCGAAAACTTAAATCAAAAATCAAAACAGTTTCTATGAGATGCATATGTACTGATATGTACTATGCTTTCAATAATGCTTGTCGAGTACATTTTAAAATAATTAGTTAATAACCAGTTAATGTTTTTTGATCACGTTTCAATCAGAGTTCTCCGAGATCGTGGAAAGTGAGATTCTCTATCGCTATTACTAATTGACAAAAATTAAATTAATTTATTATATATAATAAAATATAATAATAAACTATATTCTATTGACAAAAATTAAATTAATTTAATTTTTGTCAATAGAATATAGATATTTTATCTAAAAATGTTGCAAATATTGCAAAATGATTTTGCTGACTTTGATTACATTATCACAAATATTGAATTGTACATATACATTGAAGAATTAAAATTGTATTTATACATTGAAGGAATTAAAATATTATAGAATATATTTATACTTTAAATTGAATTTTTCTAATTTGTGACAAATATTGTTTACAAAATTTGTTTACAAATATTGTTTACAAATATTGCTTACAAAATTTTTTCCAACAAAATTGTTGCGTTATGGCGAATCATCTTATTGTTAGTGCAATCATTGCGAAAATTTTGGACAATTCATTATGCCAATTTTGTGCAATATTTTTACAATTTTACCTATTGGGATACGTAGTATACATAAATAAGAGAGATGACACAAATATCTATTAACCCACGTATGTATGCCGTGCAATTTTATTTCATCTGATTTAAAACTTATTTAATAGCGTTGCAAAATAATAACGACACACATAAAATACATATTTGTTATTGCAGAAGTAAATTATTTATGTTAAACTTGGCAAAGACGGATAATTTGATATTTGCGCAATTAGCGCCTCCGGAAAACCGCACTTTGGGTCTAAATCCGCCAATTAAAACCGTTCGCAATAAGAGCTGTACTTGCGTTTTCAATGGGAAATTGCGTTTTGGTTTTATCTGAAATTGCTTTACACACAGGAAATTTTGGAAAACATATTAACGTACTAATCAGAAATCGTCTGTGTGCGCTACTCTGGTCTATCTGATCCTGGGATTTGCATTACATTTACGTTAATACGCGCAAATATTGAACCAAAAAAAAGAAAAAACCAGTTTTCTTTATTTCGTTTTGCGTGTTACATTTTACGCGAATATGACTTCGTAACGTGTAAAACTAAATTCTTCGTGTACACGTATATTTTCTAAATTCAGTGTTAAAAAAAGTTCGACCATCCATTAATAATATCAAACTGTGTTGAGAAAGTCTCGAAATTTGCCCCGGCTTTTCTCTCTTAAATATTTCTAAGTGCCTGTAAGCTTATATAAAACAACTTTTACGATCGCGCGCGCGCGCGCTCTTAAAGAGCGCAGCATAGATTTATTATTTAAACCGAGCTCCCGTAAAAAGCTAAGTCAGAGTCGACTATCGACAGCGAGCGGTTAATTACTCATAGCGGTCTCATCGACTTCCGGCCGTCATATAATCGTATCGTTTTGCCGAGAGTTGCGCTGCCGCATACCGGGCCGAATAAGCGCGCGTGTAATAAACGAAGCTAAAATTAAAACCGAGATACATTAGCTGCGTATCCGCTCGTAAATTACGACGCTTCTTAACTGCGAGGTGAAAAAAAAAAAAAACGTTAACCGACCAGTACAGATATTCCCGCTCGCGTAAAGAGCGTGTAGCTCAATCACGCTTGCGAGAGAGATATGCGTTACAACACGGGATCTATGTTCACAGACGGTGAAATCGTGGGACATCCCAGACTGAGGTTGATTGGCGATTCCAACGCCGGCATTTTCAACCTGAGAATCACGGACGCGTCTCTCACCGACGACGGCGAGTACGAGTGCCAGGTCGGACGCTATTTGCGAATCAAGCCAATTCGCGCCAGCTCTCACCTGATCGTCACTTGTGAGTAGAACTTTTCAATCAATTTAACGCGTTCAAAGATAAACAAGCGAATAAGAAACGAAAACACTCGGCAGTGTATCGTAAAACAGCAAACAAAAAATAAATAAATAGGGTCAACTGTTGCAAAGCGGGTAAAAAATTTGTTAGCGCCTAACCACCGATGACATTTTGTTGACCAAATTTCGGGGTCGTGTAAGGATATAAAAAAAAACATTTGCTTATTGCTATTTGGGGAACGATCGAGTTCGCTCGGGCGATGGCCCCGCGGGCGACGTGGGTGTTGTGTAGTTAAAATGCAAAGCGTGCCCGTAACTCGAATTACAAACTCGCGATCTCGAAACCGCGCTTAAAGTTAATTTACGCAATCGTATATATATACGAGCGGTAACATTGTGTCGCGCGTTTGTTGCCGCCCCGAAAGCGCGCGCGCGCGACTTTCGGGATTTCGAGAGAGCGCGGCGAAACGGTTTATATAAACGCCACCAGACGACGACATTCGCTGACCCGGGACGGGACGCGCGTTTCCACACCATCGAATACTACGACACGTCTTTCTCTCTCTTTCTCGCTTTCGCTCTCTCTCTCTGTCTCCGTCCGTAAATTATGCAGAAGTTATTAAGCGCGACAATATGCATTGCGCCCTCCCCCCCCCCCGACCTGAGTCTCGGCGCAAACTAGTAAACGGAACGGAGCTAGTTTTCGCACGCGCGCGACCTTTCCGGCGCGAACGCGGGTCTCCGCTTTTGAGGGACGACGGTTTTAATGTCGAGGAGAAGGAGAGAGAGAGAGAGAGAGAGTGTGTGCGCGCGCGCGAAATCGCGACCTCTTTGTCGGGGCCATTCATCGACCGTCGCCATTCTTCTTACTCCTCGCGCGCGTCGTATTCGGAGCAATTGCATTGCAAGCGACTCTCTGTGGTGGCGCGTTGCGATTCGCGAAACGTCGGACCGGAATGCGCGCAGGAGTAACATGGCAAAGAAGCTAATTCCGAGGCGGCTTCCGGCGCGCCGTCACGGTTCCGGTGACAAACGGATTTCGTTGAAAAACGAATTTTTTTTCTCGAATTCTTTTGCGAACCGAGAACCTGAGCGAATTCGCGCTGACCGGCCGTTTTGCGGGATTTTCTTCGAGACAAATTTTCTGGTTATTTTTTTTAAAACACCCCATTGGATCAAGTCGGTTATCTTTCATTGAAAATTTTTGTGTACAAGATTTTTATTCCCGAGTCGAAATTTAGCGTCTACATTGAACCTCAATTTTTCTTTTTTTATATAAGAGTAAGAGAGAGAGTATATCCTACTTTGACGCTGCTATACGTCCGAAATTTCCTTTTTTCCTGCTAAAGTTTTAAAGTAGGGTTCAATTCTCAGATCAAACTGCGCATTGCAGGTTCTGATAAGCTCAAAATAGGTTCTGATAGGCTCAAAGTAGGAGTAAGAAAAAAAGTAGATGCTACTTTGATGCTGCTATACGCGTCCGAAATTTCCTTTTTTCACAAATTGAGGTTCAATGTAGACGCTAAATTTCGACTCGGGTTCAGTCAGCGATTATTTTTTAAGAATAAACACGCGAACTTTTATATTCTCATGTATAAAAGAAAAAATTCTTAATTTTAATGAGATGTAATTAATTTTAATCTTGCATATGGATCTCATCAGCTCCGTATAAATTATACATTACGGAATTACCATAACGTAGAAGCTCGCCAAGTCAATATGACTTATCTACTTAATGCCTCAGTGATTTGGCGAGCGAGTTTGAGAAGCTTTCTTGAGACGTGACCTACTTTACGAAAAATAGTAAAACAAAGAAAAAAAAATATTTTATTAGTTTTGCAATTGTATTCTCTCATTTTTCTTTCCCACAAATGGAAATTTTTCGATAAAAAACCGAGTCATATAATATATCTGGTCTATATATATATATAATATATTATCAACAATATATACGGCTGTTATTAATTAAAGTATTACACAAGTTTAAGGTTTTATATCGCATTAATAACTTCAACTTTTGAAATACTTTTTATCCGAAGTTTAAACATACGAACATATATTATATAAGCGAGCACGGCTTTAGAATGATATTAGCCCGTGATATGCAAACTCTCGTCCCTTTCTCGAGAGGACGAGTCGGCGTAGAATATTTGCACCTGCGCCCGAGCTTTTAATAAAACGCGGACGCATCGCTAAGTCGTCATATCCGTCAAATCAATCTTCCACGTAGCGCGCGCGCGCGCGCACACGTTAATTACGCTCGCGCGTGTACATACACGATACGACGCTAAAAACACGCGACGGAAACGATAATCCGGAGTCAAATAGATCATCGGCGAAAATCGCGAATCTCGAGCAATCGTTAACAAGCCGGTTCGAAACGGTCGGTAAATCTCGCGTTCGAACGCGCGCC